AGAAGCTCTTCTTGCCGAAGAAATCGAACATTTGCACAACACAACTTTCATCATCGAGTGATCAATCAGTGGCACCCAAGTCTTAAGGGCGGTCAAAAATGGGGTGTCTACAACTATAGCTCACTATATATACAAGGTTGGCTCTACTCTAAGAGTTGAAGTCAAGGTGACGTTACCAAAAAGTCCTTTGGGTAATAACCAATGAAGATCCCATGAAATCAAAAGAGTCAATATAACCGTTCTTCGAAGTCTAAGAACCTTAGATAGCAGAGCTACCGTTTTAACAAATCTCAACAGGTTATAACACAAGGCCTCAAAAGTAACGTAGAGATAGGTGTAGTGTCATAAAAAGCTTGCCTGTGCTCCCATCATTATATGGGCAACAGAGGGACTTTAAGTGCACTAAAGCATGCAATGTAATGAACATATAATTGAAAATAAAATTCATATCATGGAGTTCGAGTCAAGGTTTCTTAATGTCCCCAACAGAGTCGCCAGAAACTGTCGCATCGCTCGGGCGGTCCCACGAGTGCTAAACAGTTCGAACCCTCGGTCACTTTGATCTAGTCTCACGAGTGCAATGTGAAACATGGATGAGAGCCTAGATTTGCCAACTTTTATAGAAAATTCATTTTATTGCAAAAATCTTTGCCAGAAATGGACTGTGTCATCAGATCTCAAAGTCGCCACCTAATATTTTGGAAAAATTAGGAAACCCATGACTCATGCCAAGGCCACTGTTCGTCGTAATCAAGGATGCTTGGCTCGGAACCTAACATATGAGAGGGGAAGGTCATTAATTGAGCACCACTACTGACCCGATCAAAAATCGGCCTTTACTAAACCATGATATGATTTTTATTGACAATATATGCTCATATTCTGGTTATTAAATAATCCTACAAATTACTATGTGAAGCAAACAAGTATAGACCGTGTCATTTATTTTGGAACGATGAGTTCATGTATTTTGAAAAGGGTTTTGAGTTTTGTACAGCTCACAATTAAATTGAGCCCACAAACATGAAAACCAATATTGTTCCAAACTAGTCAACAAAACCTCCATCCATTGGCAATCATAGAGATATATCAATTAAGCATGTTGCCACATGGTAGGATGCTAGACATATCAAGAAAAAAAAGAACATACACAAGTAGGATGCTAAAACATAAACACTTAGATAGTATTTACTGACGTCCCGCAGAAAGCTGCAAAACAAAGTTAGAAAATATGCATGATCCTAGATGTAAGAATCTAATGCAATACGTTCATAGAAATGCAACTAAAAATTCGGCTACTAATACATGACATGTGAATCATCTCAAGAACATGAGGTAGCGCACATAATCACATAAGAATTTATTAAATCCACAAATGGAAATAAGCCAAATTCTAATGCATGAAATATGGATGTAAAGCATAGATATGATGAAAAAAATAAAATATGATACTTATTTACAGATATGAAAAGCAAGTATATAAAATGGATAAAAAGAATTGGGTTTGGAAGACATACATAGAAAGGGATACAAAGAAGTGGAGAGGGAAATTATTACAACACCAAATATTTACAAAGCCAAATAAAAGACATGGGGTTGGAAATTATTACAACAAGATCATAAGAATATACAGAAATGATTTAACAGAAAGCTACAATCATCTGCTGGAAATTCCCTTGTTTGTTGCTTGGAAACTAGTCTGTTTTGCTCATTTGGGAATTCTTTCTTCTTTTTTTTTTTTTGTAGCAAAACCAAAACAAAACAAACAAAACCTTTCTAAGTGATGCTACATCATATGTACAAAAAGCTATCAAATGGAAAATCTAACAAGTATGTGAATTAAAGCTAGGAAACACCAAACCAAAGAAACAAAAGGAAACTCAACATGATGTTTATAACAATTTATCAAATTAAATAAATTACAACAAGAACAAATTCAAGCCTAAGAAATAGATGGGAACCTACATCAATCTCTTTGTGAATAAAGGCAAATTAATCCATGCTATTAATTGGAGAGCATAGATTGGTGCACATCATTTCTTAGTGGAAGCTTTGCTTTTAAAGTAAGAGATTCTTCAAATTTATTGAAGACTCCTCTTCATCTCATGGAATGAGAATGTTTCCATCCCATTCCATGTTCGAAATGGTTGAGAAGAGAGTTTTCAACATCTTCAACCAAAAACCTCTTACTCTACTTCCCAAAAACAAAATATCAACAAAATGAAAACCAACAACCTCCTCAATACCAAATCTCAAGAATCATCCAACTAGCTACATGCAACAACCATCACTACTCATTAGAATTGAGTATGGATTGAAGCAAATGAGCCAACATGTTTGGATGATGGGATAGATGATGAGAAAAGTGTATAAAAATGAAAGAAATTACATTGCATAATCAAATATTCTAGAAAAAAAAAATCTAAGGAATAGAGGCTCAGCCTTCCATTTCTACAACCTAAATATCGTATATTTAAAATAGTCAAGAAAGTCCAAGAAAATAAATAAATTACATATAAAAATAAAAATAAAAATAAAAACTGCATATTTAAAACAATAAAGAAAATTTAACGGAAAAAATGAGAAGATTACAAAAATTCACCCTTGGAGAAAAATGATGAATTTTTCGATTATCAAACTTTCATCTTTACACCCTCACGGTTATGATGTATGCTTTGCAATCTCAGGCAGATGGTTCAAGTTTTAGCTTTAATGCAGTTTTGGGTGGTATATATCGGTGGTATTTTTTTTGTTTTTTTTGTCTTGTTGATAGTTCACTAAATAAAGGATCGACGTAGAGGATTACAACGAGTTAATGAAAAAAAATGTTTGATAATAGGGGAATTTGATCAAAATTCATCATAATAAAATTTTAATGCATTAAGGATGAGTACAAAAAGTTTTTCTTGAAAAGTGTAAGACATAGCACTACTATTAAAATATTAAACTTTAAAATAATATAACTTTTGATCTAGATGTCGATTTTTAATAAAATTAAGCTTTTTAGAATCCTCTCATCAAGATCTATAAAACAATATATATGTTGACTACAAAATTCTTTTCCAAAAAAAAAAATTTACTACTGTCAAAATTGAAGTAAGCAGTAACATGTTACTCTATCTCATAGTAACTTGTTACTCTGACAATATTGTCTAAGAAAAAAAAAAATATTTTACTTTGTCCTTGTTCAATTATGTGTTTCCTCCTTAGAGGGTTTATGAAGCAAAATAAATTAGGATGTCCTTTTCACCAAACAAAATAAGGGTCCAATGGAGGGATTTTGACTAAATTTTTCTTGATAATCTAATTCAACATTTGAAATTAGAAAAATTTATTCATAAATTCTATATAGGAGAATATTGATCCATTTCGTCATAAGAGTTTTCTTATGAAGCAATTAGTCCTTTTTGTTTTGGAAAGTTTTATTTATTTGATTTCGTGCTATTTGAGTTTAAGTGAATACCCTTTTATGATTCATTTTTTGGATGGGAATGGAAGGTGAGTTGTGAAAGATTTTTTTTTTTAATTTTTAGGATTGGTTACTAAAGTGTTGGTTGTCGAGCATTGAAATCTACATTTCTATTAGTGTGGTTTTCTTGTGTTACATTAGAGTGCTACATTTGCAAAAAAATACACTAAAAGGTTTTTGCGTGTTACGTTGATTGGAGAGTTACGTGTGAGAAAAATACACTAAGAATTTTTTTGGAAATGTTACATTGGAAAAGTACACTAAGGAGCTTTTTAATGTGTTACATTAGAGTGTTACATTTGGGAAAAGTACACTAAGGAGCTTTTTAATGTGTTACATTAGAGTGTTACATTTGGGAAAAGTACACTAAGGAGTTTTTTTGAAATGTTACGTTATTACGTTTGGAAAAAGTACGCTAAGACATTTTTTAGTGCGTTGCATTGAAGTGTTACGTTTTTATAGTGTTGCATTAGAATGTTACGTTTAAAAAAAAATATACTAATGAGTTTTTTTTAAGTGTTACATTTTGTAATTTCAACATTTTAAGAAAACCCACATTTATCCCTCAACACATGACACACGGTCGTTTACGTATGGCTCTTTATGTAATTCACACTAGAATGAGACTTTTAGGTCCATAAGAAAAAATGAAGAATCAAATAATTCCTAAAATCACTATTTGAGATTTATCGGTGTTTCACTGTTAAATTTAAATGTATTAAGTGAAAATTAATTAAGTCCATTTGACAATCACAATTTAATATAATATGCTACTTATTTAATGCTAATTGAATTTACTATAACCATTACCACCCCAATATCACCACCACGACACTATTCCTTCACCTGCACCATTAATGCCATAACTACTACCATCCTCACCTGCTCTAACGTCATTAGGGGTGGACATCGTCCCGTTGGTCCACCCAACCCACCCGGTCAAGTCGTATTTTTGTAAGACTTGAGAACGTTGTTTTAATCCATAGAGCCGAATTGGGCCAACATTTTCAACCCAAAATATTAATAGATTAGGCTTGGGATTTATACTATTTAATTAATTATTCATTTATTTATTCATAATATATTAAAATATTTTTTTTTGTTAGGATCGAAACTTTATCTTTATTGATTTTATTAAAACTCACATTTGTGGTAATGTATGATTGAATTTAATTATAAAACGTTTTAATTTTTTTTTAACATATAGCCCAATGGGTAGACTCGAAATTTATAATTATTTTTTGAACTGGGTTTGCATAGATATAGAGACCAGATGTTAGGACCGGGTCAGAGTTGGGCAGACACAAAATCTCTTATTATGTATTGTCGGCCCGGCCCAATGTTTGTCCACCCCTAATCGTCACAACCACAATATATAGATTGAAAGATAAAAGTTTAAAAATAATAAATAATATATTTTATTTTATTCATATTACATACTTGTTTGAGTTATCACTTAAATTTTTATCAAATATTTTTTCAAACTTAATATTTTAGCAGTAAGTTGTATCAAACAGCAGTAAATTAGCCAAAGAGAGAGCGACATCTCAATTAGGTTGTTACATACCGTAAACCAATTGTGAGCAAACACCTTAACCAAAAACAAAGACAAAAGAAAATGAACATTATTGGAAAGAAGAAGCAAGCAAAGCATAAGCAATTGCATCGAAAAAATTACAGAACACTCTCTCAAACTAACTAATCAACAACAAAATCTTCTGTCAAGCGACTAAGCAATAAAATCCAACTAGAATAAGAGCAAAACCAAGATGAATAGCAAGTCATTAGCAAACTATCTTCTCCAATGAATGAATTGACTCTATAAGCAATTGCATCAAAACAAATTACAAAACACTCTCTCAAACTAACTAATCAACGACAAAGTCTTCTGTCAAGCGACTAAGCAATAAAATCCAACTAGAATAAGAGCAAAACCAAGATGAGTAGCAAGTCATTAGCAAACTGTCTTCTCCAATGAATGAATTGACTCCCCAGAGAGCACATCCATCTCCAAACCAAATAAAGCAGAATACTTCCTCTGCCATGCTTGAAACTGACACTGGTTAGCAAAGCACATATCAGTAATTCCAAAGTAAAATAAATAACCCAGTAACAACTTCAACAAATGCTGAGAAAAGAATGAAAATTCATTGTAGTTATTCAAAATCATTAACATCCTGAACAATATCCAACATATAACATATTAACATCGCACAACATAACAGAATTATAAGGAGAAAGAGCAAGAATTATTGCCTACCAAATCTCTCACTAGTCCCGAAGCAACCAATTGCCAAGTTAGTGCACAAAGATTGAGGTTATAGACCGTCACAAATCGAACAATTCAACCAATGATCGCCAAGACGGATGACTTTTTTGCTCGCCGGATGTACTGTAGACGCATTTCCAGGAACAACATTTCCATAGAGAGAGAACTGTAATTGGGATGCTTCTTCACTAGTTGATTGGCTACTCTTCTCTTCTTGCTCCTTGTACACAAGGTGGACTCCGAATTCCTTCACTTGAAAATCTTCATTTCCAACCACTGAAATATTTAGTTCATCCCCACCTTCCAATTGATTTTCAAACTTCCAATAGCTTAACCACATCAAATCCTCATCACCTTCCGGAATGCCAAAAACTGATGGGGAATGACTCCAAATCAGACTCTTCGTCTTATTATTGATAATAGTATGTGCGTTACTAATGTAGGGATATTTTGTATTATTGGAAAGTGCATAAATAGAACACACACTCAAGGCTTGAATTTTGAAATGCGATGGCACAATAAAAGATATTGAAGATCCTGTATTTTTAAGATTAAACCAAGTTGGAATCTCGCTTCCCGGAAGATAAGCGTAAAATATATGTCGACCATGACACCCCTGTACCAAAGAAACCATAATTTAACCCTTGCAATTTTTTTATTTATTTTATTTTTGTTTATTTTGAGAGAGAGAGAGAGAGAGAGAGAGAGAGAGAGAAACCTGTAGGGGAAGCTTCATTGAATTCTTTGAGTACAGGCTTGAAAGCATAACAGTTGGGCTTCCCATGGATCCTAAGTTGGGCAAGCCCAAATTATTCATTATCTCCACGTCAATAATCCCTATGGGTTCTAACTTGAACTCACCCATAATCTCAATTATATTGTCCCACGTACCATAGACTAACAATGGTCTCCAGTAGTTTTTCACAACAAATTGATTCTCCCAAGTGCTACTATATTCCAGGGTAAATGGACCTGGATTAAACCCACATTTTGAGTAGTACAAATCCTTCAAATTCTGCCACATTATATATGCATCGTAAAGATGCTTTAATTCTATGGTTGATGGAAATGATTGAAATGTTACTTTCTCCACCAATGTACATCCAACGGCCGACAGTATTTTCAAATTTTTCTCCACTATAAGTGATTGAAGCCTTTCACACTCATCTAATTCAAGGATCTGAAGTCCAGTAAGACCTCCGATGCAATTCGGGAGGCTACAAATTGGATTATTGCTCAGATTTAATATCTGCAATGAGGATAGGTTGCTAAGATCCTTTGGAAAAGCATCCCCTGATAAATTGCAATCCACAAGACTTAAGTGTACCAAAAACCGTGGTAAAAGAGCACATGAAATTTCTACACTTTTTCTTGGTTTCGATAGAGAAGGCCAGATGAATGAATACCATGGTTTGACCTCCTTAGTGGTAGAGAGTAATTGACTTGCGGCAATTCCATTTGCATTGAGCTTTGTTAAAGAATCCATAGTCCCTATGTCTAGTGGCAGTTCCTTAATATTTGAGCAACCTGAGATGTCAAGTGTTTCCAAAAATTTGAGCATAACAATGCTTCTTGGAAGCTTCCGTAGATTTTTGCAATCTTTTAAATTTAATAAAACAAGTCTCTGAAGGTGTCCAACAGATTCATGAACCTCTACTAGCCGTGCACAATTTTCAAGTATTAGTCGCTCAAGATTGGGTACTTCCAAGAAATCAGGAGTTTTGAAAAGGCAGTGGGAATGACTAAGATCAAGGATTTTTAATGATTTGAGAAACTGTAAGAGAAAAAAAATGTTGGTTATTGTTTGTTTTAACTCTCAAACAAAATTGAAATGAAAACAAACAAATGAGTAACATACATTGGTTCCTTCCCAAACCTTTTGCAAGTTGCTATACTGCATGTCAAGAACAACCAGGTTATCCAAAGGGAAATCATCGCATATAAAGTTGAAAGAGAATCCGTGCCAACACAACCATCGTAATCCTTTCGGAAAATTTTCAAAGCTTCCATTGACTTGTAAATTTTTGAGTTGCAAAAGTTTTAGTTTGTGCATCCTTGCAAATGCATCAACTTCCAAAGCTATCTTATCTGAATTTCCCGGAGCAGTGCCTACTGTCTGCCAGGAAAAGGTGCCAAAACAAAGTCTTTTAAACGAATTTCCTACATTTGACAACAATGTTGTGCTAAGGAATTCTTCAAAATGACATTTTCTTTTGATACCAAAGACTGTCCTGTCATATTTATCCTCCAAAAAATTCATATCAAGTTTGAGACCTTCAATCTTTCCCGTCCCCTGACAAAGAATGAGAGAGAGATGACATTGATCAAGAAGAGTAACACTATACAAATAAATGTTTTGCACAATTACTTTCCGATGCACCAAAAAAAAAAATTATTTTGTACAAAATTCTCATACCAAATGATATGTAACTTTCATTTCAAATGAAAACACCACCAATGTAACTTGTGAATATTTTTTTTTTTTTGGTATGAAGTTTCTAAGTTTGGATCATGTTTTGATAATAAATAACTACACAAATACATTCAAATATAAATGAGGAGTAGGATTTATTCTTACAGTATTTTCTCTCAAGACATTGAAGGAATCTTTATGATTCCATAGTCTACTACATTCTCCCAGTTCCTTAGGTGATTCTTGGCGAACAATTTCTCTTCCCATTTCTTGAACCAATTGATGCATCACAAGCTTTTTGCGTTCATCAACTGCTAACAGACATCTATCAATAAGATTTTGAATCCCAACTGTTGTGTAAAAATCACATCCATCTAGAATGGTAACTACCCAATCTTCATCCATCCCAACAAAAAAACAAGCAACATGGAGGAATAAATTTTTGTCATGTTCATCTGGTAAAGAGTCATAGCTTATTTTGAGCTTTTCAACAACTTCATAATCAGGGATTGCTTTCAATTTTTCCAATTGACTTTTCCAAACATTTAAACTTTTTCCTGACAAAGAAGAACCCAAAACTTTTATAGCTAGTGGAAGCCCTCCACAGTATTGTACCACCCTTTCTGAATCCTCTATGAAACCATCAATGGGACGGTTTTTCCCAAAGGCATGCCAACTAAAGAGCTCTAAGGACTCACCATAATCCAAAATTTCAACCTTGTGAATGTGGCAAACTTCATGAGCCCTTAGCAACCGCTCACGCCTAGTGGTTATGATGATTTTACTACCTTGAAAAAGCCAATCTCGCATTCCAAGTACTACGTCTAATTGGTCCATTGCATCCACATCATCAAGAATTACAAGAACTCTTTTGCAACATAATGCATCTTTAATATGAACAATTCCTTGATCAACACTGTACAACTTTGTCTTTCTTCCCTTTAAAATGTCTGAAAGAAGTTGTTTTTGTAATTGAAGTAAACCATTTGGTTGTTTTAGAGTTTCTCTTACATTTGCAAGAAAACTACTACCTTGGAATCTTGAGAAGTTCGAATTATATAGAAATTTGGCAATGGTTGTCTTCCCTATTCCACCTATCCCACAAATTGCAACTATACCAACATCACTACACTCATCTTGTAACCAAAGCCCAATATTTTTGGCTCGAGAATGCATTCCAATCAAGTAGGGTGAATTGCCCAAGATTGTGCATCTTAGTTTGTCTGCAACCACTTCTACAATTTTGTGGATAAATTTTGACTCGAATCTGAAGATAAGATCAAGATTTTAAAAAAAGCACAATAAGAATGCCATGACTAGAACTTAATTATAAATTTTCATGCAATAATGAACAAAATGACTATGTTATTCTCTTTAGTGAAACAATTGGATGAGTCCTAGATGAAAAGGAAAGGGTTTTCACAATCATGGTTATACATCAATATTCTTTTTTTCTAATATAAATTGTTTTCTGTGCTTTGTAATTTTTTTGGTTTATTTGTTATTTATATAGTAAGCTAAGCTATTAAATTTTTTGAAGAATAGTCTAATTTTTTTTCCAATAAAATTTTTAGGGTTAATTATACCAAAAACCCCCTCAACTATTAATAAATATCATTTCCCTCGACAACTATGAATCAATACTTTTTGACCCTTTCAACTATAAACGTGTATCATTTTCAACCATCTAGACCACCTCTAGAATTAGTAAATTGGTATGATTTTTATACTTAAAGAGGGTCAGCAGGTACAGATTCATAGATTGGGTAAAGTGATATACACTTAAAGAGGGTCAGTAGGTATAGATTCATAGATTGGGTAAAGTGATATACACTACTAGTTAAGGGGGTCTGTCTTGGTGTACTTGACCCAAATTTTTATGGTTGCAAATGAATAACTTCTTATCATCTTTTCAAATAGATTAAAAGGGAGAAGCATACTCAAAATATCGTAGTTAATAAGTTTGAGTTTTTTTAGAGTGTTACGAAGAACTGTCTTGTGAACCTATACCAATTTGAAAAGAAATCGACTTGTAGTATGTTGGGATATTCCCTCGAGGACAATTTAACTCCTATATTTAAAGGTTAACCTCTAAAATTAAAAGATGTCAAACTCTTGTATTTAAAAAAAAAAAAAAAATCATCTCAAATTTCGATTAAATAATTCTTAATCTAAAAGACCCTCGTATGAAATGCTCTAATTATGAAATCCCAAAAAGGGTGGTGCAAATAATGCCTAGCTAAAAGAGGACATAGGAGGAAATTACCCATCAACTTGATTTTGTAAACTCATCCCTGCTAAATCTGCAGCTTCTTTGAGTGCTGCCCTCCAGTCTTGTATCTTGCCTTTCCATTCATCTTTTTTTTCAGCCCCTTCTGTATGGAATCTCTCTTCATGCCTCGTGAATGCTTCTTCGAAACTTTCCATTTGGTTCCTCACATGGGATGGATCCACGTGATAGAAGACAGGTAGCACTACATGCCCTGTAGTCCTTCTACGTTTGAGGATCATTACAAGTTCATCAAGACACCAGCTCGAAGAAGCATAGTTTTTTGAGAAGACAACTATTGAAATCCTCGACTCTTGAATTGCTTTATGCAATTCAAACTTAATAGTTTCTCCTCTTTCAATCTCGTCATCATCTCTAAAGGTGCGAAATCCTCTATGCTTTAAAGCTGTGTAGAGGTGGTCAGTGAACGTCTTGCGAGTGTCTTCACCTCTGAAACTCAAGAACACATGATAACTACATGGAGAATCTGAAGAGGAGGCATCTTGGGCTCTAACAATCCCCATTGGATTAAAGCTCCGCAAGGAATTAAGGACAGAAGAGCTATGAGATGGAATGAATGCTATCTGTCAAGGCATCGTATATATTTTATAGATGTAACTATATGTAACCATACATCGAAAAGGAAGGACTGAATAAAAAATAAAATAAAATAAAGGTGAGGAAATGCTACCATAATTTACCTGTTCATTTATGATTTATCCTGAAAGCTTCAAAGCGAGTGTGAATGGGCAATTTAAGGACACCTGTTTGTGGACATTTTCGGCATGGAAGAAGCTGCTTGGAAGTTGGGGTAATAATATATATATATATATATATATATATGAAAGGGGATACAAATGTGTGGGAAAAGTGGTTGGATGAGCAAGGTTGGACACAAATGCTGAGAAAGTGGAGATTTTTATTTTTATTTTTATTTTTTATCAAATTCAGAATATTTTACATAATTTTAAAACTTGAAAGGGTCCATTTTATAATACATTTTTTTGAGGGGCTTATATCATGTATAATTTATGATATTTTTAGTCATACCTAAAAAAACTATAATAGATTATAATCAAACGTCATTTGAAACATAATAACAACTCTAATAAGTTATAACCAACTACCAAAATGGGTCACATCACCAATTGAGTCATAACCAAAACATTTTGAATCATAACTAAAATAACAACAACAATAACTAAATCATAACCAACTCTATAATTAGTCATAATAAACACCACAATTTTATTTTTAGTGGCAAAGAAAATTTTGTTTGATGAAAATTCAATATACATAGAAAACAATTGATCAAAACCAAAGACTACAAAACTTGTAAGTGGATATATATATTTTTTAACTAGGTATAATTGTAAGTGGACATATAGTACACCTCTTTTTTGAAATGTGTATCATGGAATTTTTCAACTTAAAGTTATTTTGAATTTATATATATATATATATATATATATATATTTATATTTTATTTTGTAAAATGATATTTTAAAAATACAATTTTAAATTTTAAATTTTGTTTTCGACTTCAATTAATTTATTAAAAAAAATTAATTCGTAAACATGTTTTGAAAATATACTTCAATATAATATAGAAATGAGAAACTGAGTAAAAAAAATTACTTAAATTTTAAAAATAAATTTCGACTACGAGTGTCTTCACCTCTGAAACCCAAGAATAATTGACTACTACATGGGGAATTGGAAGAGGAGGCTTGTTAGGCTCTAACAATGTCCACTGGATTAAAGCTCCACAGAATTAAGGACAAATGGGATGAATGCTATCTGTCAAGGCATCATAGATATTTTAAAGAAGATGTATCTATAATGTTTTGAAAAGATGGTTAAAAATTAATTTTTTAATTTTTTTTTACTGTTTTATATGATGTGACTCAAAATAAGTTATAAATTATTTTTTAACTTTTAATCATGCTCCTAAAATGGGCCTATATCTAACCATATATCTAAAAGGAAGAACTAAGTGAAAAATAAAATAAGGTGAAGAAATGCTACCATAATTTACCTGTTAATTTATGATTTATCATGGAAGCTTCAAAGCGAGTGGATGGACATTTTAAGGAGTAAATGCTACCATAATTGATTGTTGACATTTTGGGCTTTGAAGAAGCTGCTAGGAAGGTGGGAGTAATCAAAAATAATAATAATAAGTCTATAATATACCGAAATTATTTACAGAATACGACACACCTTTTATAAGAGGTAGGGCTATCCAATCCCACCACTTCTTAGAGGTCTGTGTCTCGTTCTATGTGTATGAGTCGCCATACACCTTAGTACATGTTCCTCGACGCTGAGGGCATCCCCCAAGAGCAGGAGATTTCGTGACATTTCTGATTGGCTGTCTTGTATTTCTAATAAGTTGTTTAATAGTTGGCATGTTGAATAGTAGACATAATGGGCTAGTTTATATCGATCATAACCAAATGATTATGAATTACTTCTATTTAATAGTGAAAAATCTAGAAATCCCCTAGATGTTGATTTGTGATTATGTATCAATTTTAAGCAGTAAACAACAATCCCAATCAAACAATCAAGACAAATCGACACAACGATTTTACGTGAAAAAACCACAATTGGATACCTCCGATTGTGATAAAAAAAAACCACGAGCAACAGCCACAAAACAATCCACTAAGAAGATATAAAGGAATTACACAGGTATACTCTCAATTACCTAGCGAATCCACGCCCGAATTGAACCAACCTCTATGTGTCTCTTCCAACCCCGTCTTCACCTCGAAATTGTCTTGACGATGAGCCACTCCGGAATCCACCAAAGCTTCAGGCTCGAATTCTTCAGAATCCACCAAAGAACAACTCTCTCTTTTGTGTAGAACAAACAAGTAATCCTTTGATGTATACTCTTTAAACCATGAGTTGAATACTCAATCAAAACATCAAAGAAAACTAGCAAAATATCCCTAGATATAAACCCTAGAACCCAAGAAGAAGATCTAAGAAGTAATCCTAGATTTGGAGCAACTTGCGAATATATAGAATCTGAAATCACGAGGTCTGCTCGAGCGGGGACATTATATGACATGTTCCAAACCAGGATGTACACTCGAGCGGAGATTTCGACGCTCGAGCGTGATTGAACCAACCTCTATGTGTCTCTTCCAACCCCGTCTTCACCTCGGAATTGTCTTGACGATGAGCCACTCCGGAATCCACCAAAGTTTCAGGCTCGAATTCTTCAGAATCCACCGAAGAACAACTCTCTCTTTTGTGTAGAACAAACAAGTAATCCTTTGATGTATACTCTTTAAACCATAAGTTGAATACTCAATCAAAACATCAAAGAAAACTAGCAAAATATCCCTAGATATAAACCGTAGAACCCAAGAAGAAGATCTGGAGAAGTAATCCTAGATTTAGAGCAACTTGCGAATTTATAGAATCTGAAATCACGAGGTCCGCTCGAGCGTGGGAATTGACGCTCGAGCAGGGACATTATATGACGTGTTCCAAACCAGGATGTACACTCGAGCGGGGATTTCGACGCTCGAGCGTGAAAACACAGATCACAGTATTTTTGCAAACACGCATACTTCTGGAAATCACCATTCTCTGCTTGAGCGGGGGAATGGACACTCAAGCGGGGAGGCAACTTTGAATGCATTTTTGCATTTTGCTTCGGGGGCACTGCCCCTCGACCCCGCCGTGACGCTGCCCCAGACCTACCAAGGGGCGCTGCCCCCTGGACCCCCGCGAGATGACTAGGCAGCTCGATCCCCGTCATAATCAGCGAAGTGGCAATCTTGCAAGAATTAACATCACAAAACTTCTCTGCACGGCACAATTCAGGTTGAATTCGCATCTAAACACTCATAGCCTCACGGAAATAAAAAGTCCGAAAACAAATACAACTTAAAGGAGTTTTGTCAAACGGGGTTGCCAAGAATAAAAACCTAACAAATAGAATATTAAACTTGGTAAGAAGATAAAATCTCAAATCACGGATTTGTGTTGCACGAAATCCATATCCATGATATTGTCATTAAACTACTACAAGATCAACAATTCCATAAGCTTGGGCTTCTATCACTAACATAAAAACATCTCTTTCCATGCCTTCGGATACAACCCATAAAGGTTTGCCCGTTTTAGCATTACTCTGGGCAAGGTTAGACTGATACTGAGAAAGTGGGGATTTTTATTTTTATTTACCAAATTCAGTATATTTTACATGATTCTAAACTAAAAAATGTCATTTTATAATGGAAAATTCTCCAGTATGCATGTACACCATATGCAATCCTATCATAAAATTGCCTAATTCTTTAAGAACTTATGATTTCACAAAAATGTGTAAATTGAACATAAATTTGCATTAGTCTTAAATTTTCACGAACTTACTTGAATTTGTATTTAACTTACGTAATTTTATAATAGGGTCGCATAAGATGTGCATTGTACATCGGAGCATTTCCTTTTATAATACACTTTTTTTTTTTGGTGTGTATATACATTATGACAATTTGTAATATTGATACGATAAATATTATAATTAAATTATTTTTAGTTATAACTTAAAAAAATGTATATAATGAGTCATAACTAAATACAATTTAAGATATAACTTATGATTTCACAAAAATGTGTAAATTGAACATAAATTTGCATTAGTCTTAAATTTTCACGAACTTACTTGAATTTGTATTTAACTTACGTAATTTTATAATAGGGTCGCATAAGATGTGCATTGTACATCGGAGCATTTCCTTTTATAATACACTTTTTTTTTTTGGTGTGTATATACATTATGACAATTCGTAATATTGATACGATAAATATTATAATTAAATTATTTTTAGTTATAACTTAAAAAAATATATATATAATGAGTCATAACTAAATACAATTTAAGATATAACCAAATATTATTTTTTTTGTCATAATTAAAATAATAATCACAATAGCTGATAACCAATATCACAATGAGTTATAACTAAGTCATAATCAACACCAAAATAAGTCATAACCAATAACCTGGTCAAATTGTACTTTATGTTCTTTCATCAATAATAATTATATTTTGCTGAAGAAAAAATAAAAAAAGTTTACAACCAAACATCACTTGAGGCATAACAATTATAATAGATCATAACTAATACCGTATTAAATCCAAATAAAGTCATAACAAACACCACAAACACACACAAAATATATATATATATATTGAGCAACAAAGAAAATTCTATTTATCGTAATTAAAAATCACAAAAATTATAAGCGAACGTATGATACATGTCTTTTTTAAGGTGTGTATTATATAATTTTGTTACTTAAAGTTATTTCGAATTTCTTTTATATATATTTATATTTTGTAAATTTGTATTTTAAATATATAATTTAAAATTTAAAGTCGTATTTTCAGATTCAATTACTTTATTAAAAAAGCCGTAATGATGTTTTGAAAATATATTTCAGAAATAAGTTAAAAATTATTTAAATATAAAATATAAATTTCAAAAAAGCATAAGTTTGATAATAAAAAAATGGATAAATTACAAATACACCTCTTGAGGTTTGCTTAAAGTACAGATTGCCCTATGTGGTTTAGAAAATTACAAATACCCCCTTATTAGTTAAATAAAAAAAAGAAATTCATAATTGCTCTCTTATACAATAATAA